AATCGTCATTTTGTAGAGCGTTTTTTACTGCATCTTTTCTTCATAGAGACAAATTTACAACCACTTGTTTCACTATAGAAAAATTTATTATTCAAATCGAGTCAGAACTTCTGGCCCACCCTTTATATGCGAAATTAATGCTCATTCTGAATGGATGTAATTAAAACTGCGCCCGACGAAAAATTATGGCTAACATTTGTTAGTTAGTAATAGTAGTTGTAGTAGATATTTCAAAATGCACCCCCACTAGATATTTAGATATTCATAGGTCTCTTAGATAGTTACAGTTTATGCAGGTGTTTTGAAAAATAAGTGGCAATTTTTGTTTTTCTTCTTTTCCAGATATCACTAAAACAGTGATACGTATCTTACCTATTTCTTTTCCTTTTCTTTATTACTCTTTTTAGTCTCGTTATCTCCTTTTTTCTTTTCTGTTGTACATGAAATAATGCTCGAACCATGCTACTCATTCTTAAAGTTCGAAAGAGCGACAGAAATATCTATTAGAAATGTGAAATGGCTTCCATAAATAATAAACTTCGACGTCAGAGATACTACGAATCCGTATTAATCAGTTCTGTCAATCGAACTGAACAATCACATACAAATTTAGATTCATCATTTATCTATTTTCAATTGTTAATCGATATTCTATTGAAATCAAATTGTGTTTATTCATTACATGATTTTATTCATATTTGTAAATATGAATATTATAATGATTTGGTCGAACAACGACGAATTGACGAATTTCATCAAACCTATACTCAGGAAACATCAATCGAATGGTACACAAAAGACTGTTTTGTTTATCGTCTGTTGAACCGCGTACTTCGCCAACAGAATACTGATTTATTGATTAAATTTCAATTTCTAATTAAGGATATTTATGAACAATTGGAACAGTTCCACCAACAGCAAAAACGAGATTGGGATCATCATCAATATGTTTATCGAGGTCAGCTAATGTCAACGGACGAATTAAATCATATGAAATCGAATATAGGCGAATTAATATCAATGAACAGTTTCCTGTCTACAACTCTCGATCGTGAACTAGCTCGTGAATTTATATGTTGTACTGAAAATAACCACAATTATCAAACTGTTCTGTTCGAAATAGAAATTGATCGTTCATCAAAAAGGAAACCATATGCAAATATAACACAGCAAAGTCATTTTGATTCGGAAGAAGAAATCTTGTTTATGATCGGATCGATATTTCGAATTGTTGCAATTAATCATGAACCTGAATTGAATACTTGGATTGTTCAGTTAGTTTTTTGTGATGATAACGAACTTGAATTGAAACCGATGTATGATTATATGAAAATGGAATTTGTTAATAACAAATATGCATTGGGAAAACTACTGTGGCAAAGGTGTGAATTCGATCAAGCCGAATACTATTATCGACAACAACTGCTACTCCATGAAAATGATTCAGAGTGTTATCATGGCCTTGGTTTAATTTATCGGACGAAAGGACATCTTGATTCGGCGTTAGTTTATCATCATCAAGCATTGGAACTTCAACTTCCTTCTGATCATAAAAAACTGGCTTATAGTTATGGTTATATTGGTGAAATTCATATACGAAAAGACGAAAATCAATTAGCTTTGAAATATTTTAAATTAGCGTTATACATGTTTACTAATGATCAGCCGAATAGTGCATGGTGCTGTCATAACTTGGGTATTTTGTATCGAAAGCAAAAACAATATGATTTAGCACTGAAATACTTTCATCGAACCTTAGAAAAACACCAGAAATATTTACCGAAAGGTCATCCACACGAAGCCGCTACTATTAATCAGATCGGTATTATCTATCGTTGCCAGGGACAATATCTACAAGCATTAGAACAACATGAGAAAGCATTGGAAATGCGATTAAAGTATTTACCTGCACAACATCCATACATTAGTCAAAGCTTTCAAACTATTGGACTATTATATCAAGATAAAGGTGACAACGAACAAGCACTGTACTACTATGATCAAGCAGAAAATATAATCAAAAAGGGTTCACCATCGAATCATCGAAAGTTAACCACAATTCAACAACAAATTAAAAGTATTAAAATCACAACAACAGCAGATTTTTTATACACCGATAAAAAGTTTTTATGTAAATCTTGAGATCCAGCTCAGAAAAAAGCCCACCAAATTTCAATTAAGCGACCTCTTTTTCTTCCTCCCCCGCTTCCAATAGTCATTTTGTTTAAAAGGGCAACATTGCAATCTATATACAGTGTGTCCCAAAAGTCCCTTGTGGAAAATATTTTTGAATTACTCCTCTGTTTCATTGAACTTAATCAATATTTTTTTTCCATATGATGCATATCACCGATATGAAAAAAGCCTGCAAATATTCCTCAAAGGTATCACCTTGGACCAAAATACAAAAATCCATTCTTCTGCGAATCCATTCTTTCCGAAAAAACATTGCACAATGTTTTTGTTTTTATCGCTTTGATTTCTCGAGTTATTCTCGTCTTTTAATCATCAATATCTTGTACTCTCGTTTTATAAATATTCGTTTAAAAATGTCATGATGTTCGTTTTAAATGTCTTTTTTGATGAGAAGACGGTGAATCAAGATAATTACCTTGACATGCTTGAAGGATATTTCTATCCGATCTTACAACAGAAACGGATGACAAAAGAGGTAATTTTCCAACAAGATGGTGCCCCGGTACATTTCTCGAAGGCAGTTCGTTCGTGGCTCGACAACAAGATCCCTGGTCGATGGATTGGAAGAGGTGGACCCATTTCGTGGGCTCCGAGATCACCAGACCTCGCCCCGTTGGATTTCTTTTTATGGGGTCAAAACGAACATTTATAAAACGAGAGTACAAGATATTGATGATTAAAAGACGAGAATAACTCGACAAATCAAAGCGATAAAAACAGAAACATTGTGCGATGTTTTTTCGGAAATCCGCAAAAGAACGGATTTTTGTATTTCTGTCCAAGGTGATACCTTTGAGCAATATTTGTAGGCTTTTCTCATATCAATAAAAACTTAACGGTGATATGCATCATATGAAAAAAAAATATTGATTAAGTTCAATGAAACAGAGGAGTAATTCAAAAATATTTTCCACAAGAGACTTTTGGGGCACACTGTATATCCAGACGTAGCAAAGGGGATACTCTTGTGTACAACAGAAAGAAAATACTGAAAAAACTGATCAGTGTCCAGCACCATCAAATTTAAGTCATGTTAAGATATGTGACGCATATTACTATGATGTAGATAATGATTGTGAGTAAGGAAATGCTGCAAGAATAACTGTGAATCAACATTATGTGTAAATCCAGTTTAAAAAATACAAAGAAAAAGAAGAAGAATTTGTTTCGACTGTACAAAACTACTACTTAGATTTAGTCTATTACCTTTCTTTATTTGTAATTGGTTGTCAGTAGTTTTTTAATAAGGTATGGATAAAAACGAATTGAATGACGCATCCATAGCAGCGAGCTGGTATTGGTAATTAAAAACGTTTTGCGAGTCTCATCTACGTTCTTGTTATGTGAAAAGAATACACTTCAATTTCAAGTTTGACTGGCTAAATTTTAAATTTGACCGGATTTTAAGTTTGCTCAAAAAACTTTTTCTGGTCAAAACTAAAATTTTAAGTCTGCCTGGTCAAAATTGAAATTTCAGTTCTGCCCGGGCAAATTTTAAATTTGACCGAATTTCAAGTTTGACCACAATATATACGTTGAATGTTTTTTAAGATGAATCGTACTACATATGATCTAGAAAGACAGGAAAACAGAAAAATATTTTACTGTTCTACACGTGTTTTATTGTCTTTTTCTATGTTAGAAGTTACTTTTTGTATATCAGTTGACTGATGATGTCTTTAGAATAAAGACGAAACGTCTCATTTGAAATAGTTATTTCAATATGTAAAAGGTGATTTATTCTTGATTTCTATTAAAAACATTTTTCGATAATGAGAAACATTGCTTAATTTGCTATTAAAAATGAAGTAAACTCGTTAATAAATTATTTCTTAAGAAAACATCCCCTAACTTGTGAGAAAAGGCATGTGTCATTAAGTTCAGCTAAACTATTATGCCTAAGATCTTTAAGTCGAGTGAGCGAAACGATAACGAGACTTATTCTGTTTAACTTCGACCGCTGCCTAGCAATATTCTTCTTTTCTTTCTTTCCTTTTTCTTTTATAGTGCTTGATATGATGAAAGCTATAGCAGAATGTATGATAATAAATCAGCTGCTACAATAATCTGAACAACATGCTGTAGAAGATAAATCTAGGTGAATAAAATTCGAAACATATTTTTGTTGCTAAAGGAGGAGATACTAGGTTCTTTCATGGTGGTCATGATTTTACAGAACGTAAATGGCAAACCATATGCCGAAAACCACCAATGGTATGTGGTCCTAATAAGATAATTTGAACTTGGAAACCCTGCTGATTAGAGTCAGTCCATGGCAGAACAATATCTGTTGTTATTGTTGCATTATCATCAGCGTGTTTCACACAAGTTGTCAAAGCATCTAATGAAATTATTAATGCACCAGACACTTGATATTGTGCAAAATATGAATTATTAAATGCGTATCCAAACACAACTAAGACCACAACGGCAAATGATGCCATACCGCAAATCCATAATTCACCGTTGGCAATTAAATGTGTGTCGCAATACACATTTTACTGTATCGGTTATTCTATTAC